CTGGAAGCTTGTGATTGCTCTCTCCTGGACTCCACCCTATGAGCTTTCTGCCTTTGCTGATTTTACTCATATCCTTTCTTAGTAATAAACTGCTACCATGTGTATAACAGCTTTTCTAAAGTTTATGAGTCCTGCTAGCAAATCATCAAACCCGAGGATAGTCTTGGGGATTCCCAACACAGAAGATCTAACAGGTCATGGAAGAGTTACTAACAAGACATAAATCTGTTTGCAAAAACAATTTCAAATGGAGTTAAAATATATCACAAGGAATATTATTAATTTTTAAATCTAAGTTTACTATTGAACTTATTTGAAAGGCAAAGAAATATGTAAGTCAACTGTCAATTTTTATCTGTGTAAGACCACATAACCACTTTGTTATTCATGTGTATGTCTACAACTTTATCTATGTCTGTATCTATAACTGTATTGCTATCTATATCTATTTATGTCTACCAACCAATATTTATGGGTGCTATTTATAGGCATGTCAATGTGATTTGTTAAAAAATTTTGAGTGATTTGAAAAAATGGATTTCTATTCATTTTTTGAATATAATCTATAGATATCTATTAATATGATCTTTGATGCCAAAACACCACATAAGCCTTTCTTTCTTTTTTTTAATGAGTCAACTTTGAATGTTAACTGAAGTTTTTCAGAAAGACTTTTCTCTTTATACAGTGTGTCCCCAGTCGTTTATGACCAATAGGGGTTATTTTAAATAAAAATCCCATCCATCAGTAAATCCAGTTTCTTGGCTAAGATTATTTGATATTTCTGTGAGGAAATACATAGAAAAAAAATAGTATTTTATTTTGAACTTACCACTGATCAACACAAAAAAAACACTCATTCTGGTAAGTGTGGCCATTTGTAGCACAAACATACGATGTCACATCTGGACACTGTGATGTATAAGAAGGATCCACTGAGTAGTACATTTTACATGGGGGCTGCAAATACCAAAAAAGTGTCATATGAATAACAATTGATAGATTTTCTCCCATCTATTCCTGGCCTGTCACTTCCTCCTCCCCATAGAAATAATATCAACTAGGGTGCCTGGGTGGCTCAGTTGGTTAAGTGACTGCCTTTGGCTCAGGTCATGATCCTGGAGTCCCGGGATCAAGTCCCGCATCGGGCTCCCGGCTCAGTGGGGAGTCTGCTTCTCCCTCTGACCCTACTCCCTATCGTGCATTCTCTCTCACTCTCTCTCTCTCAAATAAATAAATAAAATCTTAAAAAAAAAAGAAATAATATCAAATATTTCTATTCAATTGATCTTTTTCAAGATTTTCTCCTGGGCTTTGGTCAGGCAGGTTTTTTGCTGACTGCAGTGTTAGAAAATGCAGTGACCCATCCATTATCTCTTAAAATCATAAGCATTATAACATCCCCACTTAAATCCCAGATGTAAAGTTTCCACTTAAACTTGGAATCCCAAAGCCGTGAACTCATTCTAAGAAGTTTGTGAGTAGAGATATTTATGTATTTGTGAACTTCTAGAGGAAGGGGCTCAAATGTAATTGTTGAGAGTGAGGGTTCTGTATTGAGGCTGGGAATAAATCCTGTATTTACCACTGTTTAACTTTATGACCTTGAGCAAGTGACAGGTGTTATTTCATTTAATGCTCAGAGATGTATTTTACTGTTATAACGTTTGTGCTACATAAGATTAAATGTAAGTCTGGAAAGGTTATAATGCCCAAGGTCACATGGAAAACTTTTGTTCTACTTATCCCTATGAAGTTTTAGGTCTCTCATATCAACAGAGTGATCAGGTTAGCATCAGAATTCAGAACTGAGAAATTTAAATTTACCTTAGGCCATTTATTTATATCACGTGGCTTGAAGATTTCTGCAGACAAAGTACATACATAATAGGTTGAAATCATTCTTCATGGAATATGATTTTACCCACTGAAGTTACTAACTGAATAAGGAAATGTAATTTAATTACTCATTTGCACAAAAGTATAAAAAATAACTTACAGCAACAGAATTTGTGGGTGGTGTTCTTTTGTTAACTACTTTATTCATTTATTCATTCTTTCCTTCATTTTCACAGTCCTGACTTTATTTATAAATTTTCTATGTTACTGAGAAAAGAGTAAAAACCAGTTGAGGTTGTAGGTGTAACTTGCAAACTACGTTATTTTCATTAAGTTACCTGATTTTTGTTGGCTTTAGTTTCCTTTTCACTGCAGTTGGGATGAGTGTACGTACTTTAAAGTTTTTTTAATTAAATATGATATGGTAAATAAAATATTAGGCTTGTTCCTACCAAGATGCTGAACTAAAGAGGATACTATGAGTGATGATGAGAAACTTTAAGGGTTCCTTGGCTCTGGAGAGACTGGTTCTGGGAAACTAGTTTGTGTGAGGATGCTGGTGTTGCCTGGAGATAGAGGTTGGCCAGCTGGCTGTGGGAGAAGGAAATAAGAAAAGACTTATCATAGTTCTGTTATTCCTTATCTCTCACTGTAATATGATCTTTTAAATAGGCTAGAAAATTCTAGCTTTCCAAAAGTCAGAATTTCCAAAGTTCAAAGAGAAAACTTGAGTTGTATTTTAAATTATTTCCCAGAGGAAACAAGAAGCCTACCAAACTTTCCAGGAATAGACTATGCCAATTGCACATATAATCTTTTAAAGAATTAAAAAAAAAAAAATGGAGCGCTTCTTTCTAATTCTAAAAAACCAGAATCTTTTAATGACAAAAGTAGCTGGATACGGTGAGGAAAAAGGAAAATAAAGGCCTTCATCTAGCAGAAATAAAGTAAAAATATATACCGCATACCATATATAAGAATAAACCTCAAATACATCTGAACATAAGAAATGAAACCATGCAAAGATCAACTGAATTTCTCTTTAGTCTTAGTGTAGGAAAACCTTTCTGGTAGGTGAGGTGCTTTAGCATTTTTTTCATAGTGAAGTTGAATATCTTTTACAGATTTAAGAGCCATTTCTGTATTTTTGGGGTATGTGTATGCATGTGTGAATTGTATATGTATGCATATTACTCATTTGGCAATTGGTTTTTATTTCTTTTCCCTCAGTTTTAAGTATTCTTATATATTAGATGTATTAGTCCTTTATCTGTGATATGTGTTGCAGATATTCTCTTCCAGTTTATTAGATATTTTTTAGTTTAAGGAATTTACCCTGAAGATACACCTCCAACAATACAAAATACATATGCATAAGATTATTGCAACATTGTTTGTAACTGCAAAATATTGAAAACAAACTAAACGCCCATACAAAGAAGACTGACTGAATAAACTTTGGTATACCCACCCAAGGAAGATCTATGACATTGTATAAAAGAATGAGGGAGATCCCTGTGAATTGATATGTACTGATTTTCAGGATATTTGTAAATTGAGAAAAGCAAGTTGCAAACAGGTACCTATAGTATGCTATCTTTTAGGTAAGCAAGTAGGAGCATGACACAATGTGCACACATGTTTCTATATAACACAAGAAAGACAGAGATCAATGAAAATGGTTCCATAAAGATGGCTGTGGGGTTGGAATAAAAGGGAAAGGAGTATGGAGGTAATGACACTTCTCTGAACCTAAACTTTTGCTCATTTTGTTTTATTTTCCTTGTGTTCAAAATAATTTTAAATTTCCCTTTGGATTTTTCTTGACCCATGCATTATGTAGAAACATGTCATTTCATTTTCAAATTTTGGAGGGTTTTCCAGAGTAACTCCCTTTTCTAACAGTGATACCCAATTGATACCCACTTTGCATTGTCAAGCCTAACATTCCCCACTTAGTCACACATGACTATTTTTCTTTTCTACAACTAAAAGAGTATCAGATATTTCTCTCCCAAGACTTGTAAGTTTGCTTACCTGAGAAAACAGTATGTGCCAAAGTGGAGGAAACCAGGAAAAATATGGTTGTGTAGGAAAAGGCAGCCATTTGATCTCATCCAGTGTCCTGCTCTGGTGGGACCTGGGAAAAGGCTTCAGATAGTTTATTCCTAATATCTTGCACAGCTGGCTTTCCAAACATGAGAGGACCTACTGCCCTGAGGTGTTGCATTCTTATAAACTTGACCATGATGGTCTCACACTGGCCTGACCCAAGGGTTCAGACCTGAGAGGGCCCTCTGCTTCAAAGAGAGATAGTAAACCGTTAAAAGAACTTTTTTTTTTTTTTTCTGCCAGTAGTCATGTACAATCCCAGTCCTGGTTGGAAGAGGAACTGGGCTCCGGGCTTTCATCAGGACTGGCCCCAGGCATGTTCCTTTTACATAGGTTCACCCTATAATCTATCATCTACACTGGAACATTCATGTGAGTAAATATAAACACTCCAAGAATTTATAAAAAATTCTGAATAAATGGGTGTGGACTGAGGACTGTCCTGCATTATCAGGGACATGTCACTTTATAATGTGAGTCATTTGATTCTTGGGATAGACCTGTTTCTCCAGTCCTTCATTTCCTAACTAAGTGTCTTCTTGCAGACCACTTACACGTGCTCAAATACAAAGAATGAATTGAAAATAGAATTGTTGGTCTTGGGTCATAAAAATTATGTATACCTTTCCTGATGCAAGAATCAAGATAAATATCTTGATCTAAATATAATTTTTATGATTCTTAGATAGGTACACATAATTTTACATATATCAGAGAGATCTGAGTTCAGATTCTAGCTTCAACATCTCCTAAAAGTGTGAGCCTTAGAAAAAGGATGAACTTCAAAGCATATTGAGATGGTCAACTGATACTATTGTAAGTAAAGAGTTTATTTGTATGAAATTGCCAATTTCTTTAGCCACACTCTTCTCTTATAGGGATGGAAATACTTAGGCCCAGAGAGAAGATGTTTTCCAAGTCATTTCCTCAACTTCCTCCTGTCCTTCTGTCATTCTGTCTCTTCTCCAAATTGTAGCTGGTGGGCATGCAGGGAAATGAGGGAGAATCCTATTAGCTGCTAGTGAATTTTCCCCTACTTTCATGTGCAGAGGAAGCAAAAGGAAGATACTGGAGGAGAACAAACACATGGGAAAACCTACTGACAGAAGAAATGCCGAGATCCCACCACTTATTTGAACTAAGGATGGAGAAGATGAAGAAATATTACCTGAATGAGTTGCTGCAGAATGTGAGTCTGCTCTAGTCACCCTGAGGTCAGAGCTAGCCTTAAGTAAAGTTGCTATTCTATGAATCTGTGGCCAGGGGCATGCTGAGCACAGGGAGCAGCCTCCTAGCTCAGCTGAGTGACCACTTACTTGGCATGAAATTACTCTAATGGCTGTTTCCTACTTTGATCCCTCTCTTGAACCACCTCTTCTGGTGTTTCATGTTCCAGCAGGCAGGGAGAGATCTGAAGGTTCCATACTTGTGGTTTCTGTTGTGGATCATGAGAACAAGAAGGACCAGCATCCTAAATATTTGATCGCATTTGCAAAGGCTAATTGCCTACCACATTGCAGATGACCTGGTGGAATTTCTTGCCTAATTCAAGGCTGATTCATCTTTCTGGTCTCTTCTGCCTCCTGAGGTCACTTAGTCCATTCTGCTTCTCAGAAGGTTTACCTGTTTTATCTTTCTAGGACATGATTTCTGACATCAGCCCAAGAAACTCGGGTACTGCGACCAATAATCTTGGCAATACTCAAGCCTCCCAGTTTCTCCACTTGTTTCCCTCTACTTAAACATAGGAAAGCCTAAAAATGTGCCATTAACTGGAAAATTTCTATCACATAGACCTTAAACTCTCTCAAGTAGTTAGCACGCCTTTTGCTGCTTTGTCTTTTCTTCTCTACCTGAGTCCCATAGTTTGACATTTAAAATTTAGCTTCTTGACATGGCCATACTCTCTTGACATCCTACCCTTTATTCTTCCCTCTTCCAAGCCGGAATAAACTCAACTTCCTATTTTCCTACTCCAGACCTCAGTTAATCTTGGTTGGCTACCTAAACCTGCTAGACTCTTAAGAAAGCCTCTTATTTAATATCATGTTGCTAACTAGGCCACCCATCTCCAATATCATTTCTTTTTCTTTAATCCATTTTTTCAACTATCTGACCATACCTCCCCTATATGACTTTGAGTAGAAAAGTTCACCTCTTCTTTATTAAGTAGGGAAGCTTCAGATGAACCAACTCCACTTTTTTTCTCCTTGCCTTGTAATTCTGGAAATTTTATCACTTATTTTTCTTTCTATTTTTCTGCTTCTCTTCATATCAACTTACGAGGGATCTACACATTTATCCATCCCTTTCTTTCTGCCAATACCTGGTTATGTGGTCTACACTCCTCATCACATTTACTCCTTATAATAATCCCATGAGGTTTATAGCATTGTGAGACTTGTATAAGAGAAAAAGATACTGAAGCTTAGAAGAGTAAATTCATTTGCTGGGACTAACTAGCTACTAAAGAGTGGTAATGAAGTAACTAGCTACTAATGGTCAGATATGGGATTCAAACACAGGTATGTTTAACTACAAAGCCCATGTTCACTTATTTTCTCTCATCTTAGAGAATGAATGTTCCCTTTAACTTATCTATCAATCTTCTTAGACCAACACCATGAATGTCTTGTGTGATACTTTATGCTTTTCTTGGCAGCATCTTTGATTTTCCGCTCTTTGTCCCTCCCTCCAAAGGCAGTACTCTTAATCTCTCCATAATACTGCCTCCTAGGTAATTAGATTGTGTCTAGTCCACCAAGATATAACCCTACTGGAATTTTGACTGGAGTCAATAACATCTTTATAAAGTATGTATAAAAACATGTATAAAACATGATAAAAAACATCTTTTCATACATGAATATGACATGACATCTTTTCAATTGCAGGGGAATTCTTCTACTTACTCAATGTGTAGGAATTCCTAGAATGCAATTTTTAAAACACAATCTGATCTTGTTGCCCTATTCAAATCTACCATTGGCTCTTTCTTGGTTATATTATGGGGTTATTATTTATGATAAAACTTGAATGTGAAGAAATTTAACATCTTATTTTGTATAACTGAAATCAACTTGTTCATGAATATCCAAATTCTATCAGTAATAGACAAAAGTAACTTGGGGACCTGTGACTTTGGGAGCAGGAGATAGAGGTTGAATGAAGTATGGATCATAAGAGTGAAGATAAGGGAAGAAAATAATTAGGTTTTTGGATCCTCTTAGCACTAGTGTCAACCTTTCTAGTGTCTGTAGAAGCAGTTACTTTAGAAATTAAATTCAAGTGAGAAAAGAAAACTGCCTATACAACTAAAGACAGTTTTATCTGTTGAAGATTCAGAGGTCTTTGGCTAATAATTACCTGTTGCTTCTCTGGAGCTCCATTTCCCTGGTTTTTCAAAGGCTTTAGAGATCCTTTGCGTACCAGCATAAGGTTAGTTTTGCCAGTTAAAAAAGGCACTAACATTAAGAAGATGATCTCTCCTGATCTTTGTAGGAAAATGGTGGATGGCGAAGTCAGATTTCTTCACCCATCTTTAAAAAAAAAACAGGGCTTAATCTAAATCTGGAGAGTACATAACATTGCCCAGTGCCCATGCCTGCAGTATAACTGGAAATCAGACAATATTATCTACTTTGCATTCCATGCAATTAGGGAAGTACACTTCCAACACCAGCAACATTAACACAAAAGATAGAAAGATTACAGATGACTTGAATAACCCTACTTACCAACTTGACATAACTGAAATTTATAAAACTTCTGGATCTGTAGTAGGTATAATTTCCCTATTTTTACCACTAAGTACAAATGAAATACACATAAAATAAACATAAGAAGACAGTAAGGGGGAGAGAAAGTGGATTGGCTAGGGATCTGGGGACTTGAAGAATAATATGCTGGTGAGTTTCCTGAGTTTTCTGTTTGCTTCATGTATCCAGACTTGGAGCTGAGGAAGATAGCAACCTGCAAACATCAGGAGGCACAGGTCAAAAAACCACCCTGACAAAAGCCTGTTCTCTCTAGTTGAAGGACCAATAAAGGAGCACAAATGACTTTTTTGCCTCAAAACATTATATCCAAGAAGCTATCATTCTCACCAGCCTGGGTTTGCAGCTGGGTTTCTTGTAGGATATGTTTCATAAATGGTGAAAAGTGTAGGCAAACCATGGGTAGCTGGACCATCTATAAGTCACTAATGTCTTGTCAACATATTTCTTCCTTTTTGTTTAACTTGTAGGGTCTTATTCCTGATGGAACTAAGTAATGCATTCATTATTACTATTTCTATGTAATATTGTCCCATAGGTCTGGTCATGTCATTGACATTAACCAGACACCAACAGGTAGAAAAAAGGAGGGCCAGAATTTGATTTGACTTTACCACTCCTTATTGATTACCCATTAAATTCCAGGCTTTATAGTAGGTCATAGAGGTGGCCTAGTATCCATCCATTAAATTACTGCTCTCACAAATCTTAAAGTTTTATTAAAAGTGGGTGACAAGCAGAAATCCACAAAAGTAGAAAGGCAGTCAGCTAGGAGATGTGGCAGTTGGTGAGGAAAACCTGAGTCATGTGCGGAACTAGTATCAGAAGAGAGAAAACCCACCCAACATAAGATAATTAAAAGAACAGAACACTTTCTTCTCTTTGCCTGAATTAAAACTGGGGAAATCAAAGGCTCATGTCTAAGAACATAATTGAGTCCTTACTAAAATGGTCTTTTTATTAAAAAATATTTGACCTTTTTAAAAATTTCTGTCAGGATTAAAGTAGCATGCATATTCTTAAAGCCTAAAAGAAAATAAGCAATACTCTGCCTAATAATGTGATATATTATAGGAGATGAGATTCTTGCAGTTAGAAGTTTTTAAAACTTCTTTATATGTTTGTATGTTTTTTTTACATTATTTTTAATGCAGCCCATAGTAAGAAATAAATTTTATATTACAACCAAAACACAAATACACATACACTCACATATCTGAAACATCACAAAATCCTACTTACACTGTGTGCAGTGCACTATAGTATTTTCTATCCTATTCTGTTTTCTTCTAGTTTATTCCATTAAGATGCAGGTTGTAACCCACTTTGATTTTACAATGTATTTATGAATCAGAGCCTTTAGTGTAAAAGATATTGGTTTAAAGAGTGAAAATTATTATAAAAATTAATACTTGATCTTTACAGATGTGTGTGTGTGTGTGTGTGTGTTCATTCCTGGCAAATAGGCAACTCACACTGATTAGAATATTGAAAAGGAGAAATCCCCCAGTAAGACCACACCAGCTCTGAACCTCCTCCAATCTGTGGGATGTTAATGGTGGGTGGGGATTCCAAGCAGAGGAAAAACTGACACTTTGAAAGATAAGCCATAAATCAGAGGGAAGAGGAGCCAGGTTAAACAGTGGACATAAATCCACCCAATGTGATTCCCTGGTGCAGGATCTTCTGACTTTCTGTCTGAGGAAATTCATGTATATACTGTAGTTGTAACTTTATCCTTCTATGCTGTGTTTCCTTTTGAACAGTAAACCACTCTTTTATAAAGAAAGACATTTATCCATGGGCCTCCAAGTGTGATGGGTAGCATGCAATGAAGCCAAAGGATAGCCTCATCGGATTCAACTTGAGCAGATAGTGGGGCAGCAGGGAAGTTGGAAAGGAGTGCTTTGTGCCAGGTTTCTGGGCAGAGATAATTGGTGAAGTGTGTGGATATGGCAGCATGGGGATGAAATGACAGGAAAGGACAAACAATAATTTAGGAATGCATTGAGGCAAAAATATGTTTTCCTTCTCATTTTTTAAAAGATTTTATTTATTTATTTATTTGAGAGAGAGAGCACAAACAGGGGGAGCAGCAGAGGGAGAGGGGAAAGCAGACTCCCAAGGCTCGATCCTAGGGTCCTGGGATCATGACCTGAGCTGAAAGCAGATGCTTAACCGTCTGAGCCACCCAGGCGCCGCTGCTTCTCATTTTATGCTGGAGAAGAAAAAATAAAAGAGCTTTGAAAGTTAAAGCAGCAAACACTTGGACTACACAAGGCTGAAATTCAGTCTCAAGGAAAAGGGGTTCCTGGTAATGTCAACAAAGCATGGATTCTACCCCAAGAAAACTTATTAAGAAATTAGCTATTAAATGGTATGAAAGGTGGACCCTAAAGCAAATCAGGAGCACAGTTATCATAATCAGAACCCATAATCAGAGTGGGAGAATGTGCAAATCTATCAAATTTGGAATCATCTAAACTGCACCTAGCGCTTTTTCAAAATCCATAACTAGAATCAGTCTGAGCCTCATAATCTGGAGCAGAGCTAAACTTAATTAAAAGGGTTCAATATCTTAGCTAAGGGAAGAGAGCAGTTATTTGGATGAGAAGTGGGCAGTCGGGACAGTGATGATCAACAAAGTTCAAACCTTGAAAAGCCCTACAGTAAGCTGGGGGTCCAGAGAACTGTAGGCCTATCTTGTGATCTAGAAGTTACCAGCAACCTTGACGATAGATGGTGAGAAATGCTTTGGAGAATAGGATGAGTTTCATTGTGAAGATATTGTTTGAGATAACATGGGAACATCCAAGTAGATGGATGGGATTTAATCTCTAATGGGATTTGAGGGGCTTCTGGGGTACTGATAATGTCTGATTTCTTGGTCTGGGTGATGTTTAAATGGGTGTGTTGATTTTGTGAAATTCTTATCTGTGCAAGATACTATATATACATGTGAAACATCAATACTGTTTTATATTAAAAATCTTAGAAATACATTACGATAATAAAGATTAGCCAATAAAACTTAACAGTATGTCAAAGAATAGTTTACAATGAAGAAGTAAGATTTATTTCAAGAATGGAAGGACAGTTACATATTAGAAAGGAGATTACTATAATTTATTATATCAGTAGGTGAAAGGACAGTTACTATATAAATAATTGATAAATATTGTTAGTGAATTGAATAAAATCTCTATATTTGAATATTCTTTGTAATAAATAGGAAAACTGTCAAAGATAAAAAAATATTGTAAACATTTGAAGTTGGTGAAACTGCTGGTGAGTACATAAATTTGTAGAACTTTTAAACTCTCAAATGAGAATTCATCATAAAGTTGTTTCCAGGAGCACTTGGGTGGCTCAGTCAGTTAAGCATCTGCTTTCAGCTCGGGTCATGATCCTGGAATCCCAGGATCTAACCCCACATTGAACCCCATGTCAAGCCCCATGTCCAGCTCCCTGCTCAGAGTGAAGTCTGCTTCTCCCTCTCGCCCTCACCCTACTTGTTTTCTCTCTCACTCTCTCTCTCAAATAAATAAATAAAATCTTTAAAAAAATGTTGTTTCCATAAATATTTATAACAGGAATTTTTGTGACACTGCAAAATGGAAATCATTTTACAGAGGGTTGGTCATATTTTGGTTTATCTATGAATGAAAAAATAAGTAACTATTAAAAATAATATTGTAAAAGAATATTTATTGACATGGAACTATTTCATCATATACTGTGTGACATATAAGTTTACACATAGAATAATGTAAATTTTAATATAACATATAACAGAAATAATGTGTAATGTGGGTAAAAACAACTTTCAATAAAATTGTATGTAAAAAATATAATGACAAATTCTGAATTGTTAACAGTGGTTACTACTAGTTCTTAAGATTATGTATAATTTTGTATGTATTTTGAATTTGTGCCTTTTTATGTTTGTTTTCTGCATTGAAGAGGTATTATAGTATAATCTCAAAAGTGCAATGATGGCTACCTGTGTTTTTTCTTTTTCTTTTTTTTTAAGGATTTTATTTATTTATGTGACAGAGAGAGAGACACAGCAAGAGAGGGAACACAAGCAAGGGGAGTGGGAGAGGGAGAAGCAGGCCTCCCGCTGAGCAGGAAGGTGCCCATCACCCAGTTACTCCATCCCCCCCCACCTCCCTCCCCTCCATCAACCTTCAGTTTCATTCTTGTAGTTGAGTCTCTTAGGGTTTGTCTCCCTCTCTGATTTTGTCTGATTTTTTTGAATTAGTGTTTTCATTTTCTTTAGATAAAACTTTGGCTTTTACATTTAGAGTTGGGAAGCCATTAGGTGATTTGAACAGAGGAGATATTGTTAAAAGACATTTCTCTAAATGCTAGAATAAATAAGGAGAGGAATAGCAAGATTCAGGAGAGCAGCTAGGAGATATATTAGTGTTTAAGAAAGGAATTCCAGCACCTGCTAGGGGTGATGAAGATAAGGCATTGATTTCTTATAATCTTTCATTGTGAAGAAAGTTGGACAGGATTGACCTTCTGATAAATTTGCTACCTTACTCCTCAGTGTTGAGAAGCCATACTACAGCTGACTAAAGAGTCAGTGAGTGATAAAGATACAAAGGAAGTGATGGTAGAAAAGGAACAGAAAGCCAGCGGGGAATATGAATAATGTTAAGCTGCTATAATTCACTATATTTATTAAACAAGTCAAACTTGAAAAAATCCTCATTCTCAACAACGCAGTCAATACATATATAGAAAGCAGTACCTCTCAGGCTTATCATATTATGGCCCACATAGAAAATATTATTTATAAGTTAGAGCAAAGAGATAAGGTTACCTGCCACTGGTGGCAATCAGCCTGAAGAGTCCAGGCACCCGAGGTCATGGTGCCATCCAAAAGAATCAATATTTCATCAATGTTCCATAATATACATGTCAATAATTCATTTGATGACTGTAGTCCTATTCTGCCCCTCAGCCACAGAGATCAGCAGCAACAGCCCAGGCCTCCAGTGTTCACACATAATATCAGGTTGGTGCAAAAGCTCTGCGTTACGTAGGAGTTCCTGCTGACAGGTGCAACTGGCCACCTTCCTTTGGATATTCCCACCTCTAACTCCTTCCCCTCCAAACTCCCCAGGCTGCTTCTTCCCAATGTTGCATACATTTAAGAGTTAAAGGTAACTTTGACTAGAGGAGGTCCCAGATTTGGTGGTAGCAATGAGAGTGGATTCCAAAGGTTCTGTCTAGGACTCTCTGCCTTTAGACTTATCTCCACCTCTCTTCTTATAGTCACCAGGAAGAACTCAGATGAGGGCCTGACTTTAGATCTTCCTTCATATACAGAATTTATGGAAACATGGGTACTCACACCAAATCACTTAGACTCCTAAGAAGTATCGTCACTGTAAAAAACCAGAATACTATAAACCAATAAAAAAAATTTATTCCAAAATAAGTGTAACTTAAATAAGTATAATTAGCTTGGATTTTTAGATATATATAGAACTTTAGAACAAATTAACAAAATAAACTCTCTTTTTAAGCACACAGTGAACATTTATAAAACTAGACTATCTTTTAGGTCATAAAGGAAGCCTCAGTAAATTCCAAGGCATCACAGACTGTGTATTCTGAAATACATATGGTAATATGTATTATCCATATGCTTGCAAATTAATGAATATTCTCTGAGTTAATAAGAGAATCTTGATGGGAATTGCACAATATTTAATACTTATGACAAAGAAAATATTCGTATTCATATTATTTTTTTAAAGATTTATTTATTTATTTGACAGAGATCAGCAGAGGGAGAGGGAGAGGCAGACTCCCTGCTGAGCAGGGAGCCCGATGTGGGACTCAATCCCAGGACCCTGGGATCATGACCTGAGCTGAAGGAAGACGCTTAACTGACTGAGCCGCCCAGGTGCCCAAAAATATTCATATTAATGTAAGCATATCGTTGTAGCAAATAATCCTAAAATGCAAAATGACTCAATATACACAATAGACATGTATATCCTCATTCATATAAACAATTAAATGTGGTTCCAGATGTTGGGGAAGTAGTGTTCTCTTCCATACAATTATTCAGAGAGATGAAGTGGAGGCCCTTCAATCTTCCAACAGGTGGCTTTCATACATGCAATAGCACAATGACTCTTACAATGAGATGAGGAAATGAAACCAGAAATAAAAGAGGACATGCTGTATAATTCCTTTTATATAAAGTACAAAACAGGTGGAACCAATCTATGGTATTTGATGCCAGGATAGTTGTTATCTTGGAAGTTAGTGACTAGGAGGGAATAAAAGTGGGGAGGGCTTTAGGGATTCTGGTAACATTTTGGTTCTTGAACAGGTTGCTGATTACATGGATACTGTAGAGGACACATGTGTGCTTCACCCAGATGCCTTTTACCAATTAAATCTTTACTCTTATTCCCCAGATTTGATATATTTTGCTCGTTATGACTTGTACCTACAACCTTCTTTAGAGTGCTACCTTTACTGGCTACTAGTGCTACTTTGTCTGGATGTTCCAAAAGCTAAAAGTGCTAGGAGTTTACATTCCCTTGTAGCAACCTCCGTGTAATGAGTGAGTAGTGCAGGAGTATGGCAGCACAGATTTCTTGCTTCAGCAGAACACATTTCTGCCTTCAGCAGAGTGTAGTTTACACTCCCCATGGAATTAAGCTGTATCTGGAAACTCACATAAAATTGCACCTTTGCTCTACTTGTTTCTCCTCCTTATCCAACTCCTCCACTCTTTAACCAATCTCTTCCAGGAGCATTTCCTCACTAAACACCAGTACATGAATCAACATATTAAGATCTTCCAGGGAGACCAGCCTATGACAGTAGGTGCCATCATGAGCATAGGAAGTAGATTATAGGATGTGGTTCTGGAATTGGCTATCTGGCACACCAAATGGCAATGAGTAACTCATGCCTGGTAGTAAATAGTGCTGATGTCCCATGGCGTGCTGTAACAATGTAATTTTAAAGTTTTCCCCTGTACTGAGTGTGACAAGATATAGATGGAAGGGTATCCCCTGGCTTATGCAATATCTCTGATGTTTGGGAGGTGTAGGAAAATGGTAATTATGACTCTGAGACTGAGTGGTGGTGGTTAAGTCTCATCAATACCTGAAAGGAGAAAATGTTAGGCTCAGGTTGGTCAACGACTAATTTAAGGAAAAGTTTAGGGTCAGAGGTCATCTACTGCCACTTTAAAGAAAATTCATCTCCTGCAACTGGAAGAAAGATCACGATAATAACCAAGCATAGAGCTTAATTGTAACAGAGAAGGCAATGTGGCATTGTAGGGCCACAAGCACTTACTCATGCATCTTACTTTTGTCTTCAGAACCTGCTCAAATCTGATCTTGTACACAGTCTCCATGTCTTGATGATGGGGAGACCTCTACTCCATTTTGAGGACATTAATATTATTTCATGGGATGATAATTTGAATATATATATATGTTTTTAATTTTTGTTTTGCTTCTGCCTTACCTCTTTCTCCTACACTCATGCTTAGCCTAATGTCTCCCTATATATAAATTGGTAAAGAGCTTCATTGCTCAGAATGAAGTCATCATGTCAGTGATAAAACACCCTGAGATGAATTATTGGTTTCAGAAAATCACTGTTCATAAGGAACAAAGATTTATGATTATATTTGTTAATGCCAATGTTTTATGGATTGAGAGGAGGGAAGTTCCAGGGAAGAAATATCTGACTTTGATGTTGGTGATTGTTCAGGAGAGTGACTATGGATCTTGTCCTGCCATCCCGTCAACCATGGGGAGGGATTAATATCAGGAGGGTTTGCTGCATTCAGACATGTTTGAGTATTTAAGAGTATTTTAAGAGAAAATCTGTGTCTCAATTTCTGTTCAGGGTACTGGAAGCCAGCAAGTCATCACAAAATTCCTGAGCCCATTATGGCATAGAAGTGATGGGTAGACCCTCCTGCACGGAGTGTCTAGATTGATGGACTGAGGATAGACTTACCGTGTCACTATCCACATAAATGGGTATCAGAAGCACCCAAACATTATCTCTATTTGGTAGAGTGATGAGGATCAGAACATGAGAGCCAGTGGATATGGTCTAAGCCAAGATGAAGTATAACTTCCATTTATATAATACAATTTTAGAGAATACTTTTAGGTTCACAGCAACATTCAGCAAAAGGTAGAAAGACTTTCTGTATACTCCCTGTCTCCACACATGTCTAGCCTCTCTCATTCTCAACGTCCCCAACCAGAGCAGTATGTTTGTTATGAACCTACACTAATACATCATTATCACATAAAGTCTATAGTTTACTTTGTGGGTTCACTCTTGTTGTTCTGCATTCCATGTGTTCAGACATCCAAATGAGTGTGAAGTGGTATCTCATTGTGATTTTAGTTTGTATTTGCCTGATTATTCCTAATGATGTTGATTATGTTTTCATGGGCTCATTGGCCATTTCCAGATCTAATTGAAGAAATATCTGTTCATGTCATTTGCCCATTTTTAAAATGGGTTTCTTTGTCTTTAAAAAAAAAAAAAACAAAGAGAGAGACACAGAGAGAGAGGGAACACAGGCAGGGGGAGTGGGAGAGGGAGAAGCAGGCTTCTGCTGAGCAGGGAGCCTGATGGGGGGGCTCGATCCCAGGACCCTGGGATCATGACCTGAGCTGAAGGCAGTCGCTTAACCGACTGAGCCACCCCGGCGCCCTAGATGAAAACATTTTTAATTATCTCTGGCATTCTTGGTTGATTAATTTTTCCCTTGAGCACTTTGTATATGTTATCCCACTGACTTTTGGCCCCATTGTTTCTGCTGCAAAGTTAGCTGTTAATCCTATTGGATGTTGCTTGTAAGTGTCCTTTTTCTCTTGCTGTTTCAAGATTTTTTCTTGTTTTTGACTTTCAACATTTTTACCATGATGTGGGTATTTGTGGTCTTTTTGTAGTTTATCCTACTTGGTATTTGTTGAGCTTCCTTGATGTTTAGGTTGTTTTCTTCACAAACTTGGGCAGTTTTCAGACACTGTTTCTTCGGTTTTTGTCTGCCTCTCTCCTCTCCTTTCCTCTGGTATGGCCATTATACAACTATTAGTGTGCCATATAGTGTCCCACATCTCTCCAGAGCTCTGTTCGTTTTTCTTTATTTATTCTTTTCTCTGTTCAGCTTACATAATGTCTATTGATGTATCTTCAAATTCACTAATTATTTCTTCTGCCAGCTCAAATCTACTATTGTTCCCTTCTAGTGAATGCTTTATTTCAACAGTTGTACCTTTTAATTTCCAGAATTTCCACTTCCCTCTCTTTATTGATATTCTTTATTTGAGGTGGCATTGTTGTCATACCTTCCATTACTTCTTTAATCAAGCTTTCCCTTAGTTCTGAAATATTAATAATGACTATTTTAAAATATTTTCTGGCTAAATCCAACATTGGTCTCTCTCACAGGCAATTCTGTTGCCTGCTTTTTTTTTTCATTGTGATGGGTCATGCTTTCCTGTTTCTTTGCATGCCTTCTAATTTTTTTGTTAGAAACTGAACATATTGTAATGACTCTGTAGTGTTTCTGGGTACTGCTTCCTTCACGAGGATTGTTTTTCTTATTTGCTTGTTTATTTGTTTAGTGATAGCCTGGATAGTTATAGTACCATTTACTCCCCTTTCTCCCCTTAAATGTTAAGTTTTTGATGCTACTTTTTAAGGAGGCACAACTTTGGGTATGCTTACAGTTGTCTTGAATGACAGTGGTACAGATTAGGCCTCTTCCACTCTGTCTCTGAAGAGACCCATCTGTTATGCTCCACTAATTGCCAGCAGATCACTCTATTGTTTACAACAATGTCTTAGGACATAAATACCTCTACAAACTAATCTAATAAAATAGTATTTCCTTGCATGGAATATTCTCTGGGGTCAGTGTTTTATATTTATGCTTACCACAGGAAAGCTCCTCCCAGCTGTCTTATTCCTGATATGTCTCCTGCAAACTAGCTAACCTGTAGTCTAGGCTGTATCTTCATTAAGTCGATAAATCTCCTAATTCCCTTTACAATAACCCCCCATGGTTTTTGAAAGAGCTCTGAAAGAGCTCTATTGTTTTTGTTTTTGTTTTTAAGATTTTATTTATTTATTTGACAGAGAGAGACCCACAGTGAGAGAGGGAACACAAGCAGGGGGAGTGGGAGAGGGAGAAGCAGGCTTCCCGTGGAGCAGAGAGCCCGATGTGGGGCTCGATCCCAGGACCCCGGGATCATGACCTGAGCTGAAGGCAGACGCCCAACGACTGAGCCACCCAGGCGCCCTGAAAAAGCTCCATTGTAAATGAAGTCAGTTCCTTTGGGAAGAGATCCAGAGCTATCTGTTTTATGGCCTGCTTTTCCTCCAAGGCAAAACCTCTGAACCAAAGCTCTGGAGCTCGGAGTGACACCCATTCTTTAGGACCTGAGCACTCAGGGGAGGAGTAGTAGTAGCCTCAGGTTCACTTCATTTGCCTCTCCTGGTGTAGGACTATCAACTCATGAACTGGGGGAAGGGCCATAGGTGTGTAGTATTCACTGTAAGCCACACCCAAGGCAGAGCTTCCATTCCACAACAAGGAGTTGGGTGGAAGTGAGCCCCCATTCACTCACTCAGGAATTAGCCTCAGCAGCAGACAGATGGAGGTAAGAAGAGAAGTGCTGAAGTCCTGCTCTTCCTCAGAAGAAAACCCTCCAGCTTGGAGCTGGGTAAAGAGATATTCCTGTGTTCTTGGATAAAGCAGTCTGGAATGGAGTCTCCACCTTATTGACCGGGGGAAAGGGAAAGGGAGAAGCCCCTTGGTTCAAATACTGCAGAATCTTGCCTTTCTTATGAATTTTTATAGATTTTTTTTTGAGTAGATGTTTCTTCATTTGCTGTTTGCTCTTAAACCATTTCCATAGACTT